ATAGAACAAAAATATTGATTTAAAGTTTCACTTTATCATAGATATTGTGGAAAAATGGGTAATTGGTCTTTAAAAAATTCCATCAAAGTTCAATACTTCTGATATGGGCACAAAGTGCCTACCTGTGGAAACTGCATTCATGTCTAAAAATACTGAACATTTTTTTGTGGCACTACCACTGTTACTTGCTTTCTGTGTGCAATGCATGATTATGTGTAATTACCGTTTGTCTTCGTTGTGATTACAAAAACCAGATATGAAATAACTAAAGTGTGTGTGTGTTGAAAAATATCCAAAACGGCAATTATGATTCCTGTCTTTAGAAATATTTTCTCGATGATCCACTTTATCCCAGGTGGAGATTTGTTAGTTAGTGGGCCCAATGATTATTCTTAGTCCGGTCCAAATAGCTCATTCTCTAACAGAGGCTGCCCAACTACAAAGTCCAGCATATCCCAAAGCCCACTTGAAGCTCGGTAAAACCTTGGAAGCCTCTAGATATTCTGATCTTGACCGTTGTTTCCATCGCTTGATCCGAGCCACTCATTTTAGGTATTTAAGCTACTAACCCCTTAAAACTCTAGTTTTTTCGGTTTTCGCCTCTCTATCTCTCTCTCTCGCTGATACCAATCGTACCACCGTAATTAATGCCTCTTGGCATTTTCCGGCGATTTAACAGTTTGACTGTGACGGTGGTTGTTCCTTTCTTGTTCTCTGCTTAAGAGAGATTCTGCTTCATCCATCTATACATCAAACGTCCAGAGAAAAAGAGAAGTCAGAAACACTCCAGTTTGAAACTCTATTTTTTCTGTGATTATGTTCTTTTGTTAGCGTGTGAGATCTACTATGGATAAAGAAAACATGAGAGGGTTCAAACGTGTAAGTTAGAGTTTCTTGGGCGTGAGATAAGACCAATTTTGTGTGATTCCGATTAAACCTAAGATTTCTGGTGATTGGGTATTTGCTGGAGTATTGGTGCCACCGTCGGTGGATTCTGGAAATGATAAAATAGACAAGGAAACTGAGTCGTAACAGAAAGCTCTACATAGCTTCTCAGTTTGTTTCAGATCCTAGATCAGTTATTAGTTTCTCTTATGTACTCATAATATAATTTGTTAGGTTGTTTATCTATTCAAGTTTTAGTTTGTTCAAACAAGTACCCATCACATCTCAACGTAAAAATCGAGAATCGTGAAACTTTTTTATTCTAACTAAATCAACAGATCTGGATTAATGGTTTTCATGAAACCCTCGAAACTTCTTGAGTAGCTTATGCACATGAATTTCGACATAGCTTTTGCTTGCTTAAAGAGTGATGATTACTTTCATGTTTTTTTTTGTTCACCTCTTTAGTTAGCCTTGCAACTTTAATATTTTATATAATAAAGTGAACTTGAATTGTTAAGAAGAATTAAAATAGGGTGGTGATTTTGAATATTGTCAAGCTTGTTAGCTAATTTCTTAGACAATATATGGTTTCAACTTGCAAAAGATAGTTGGATCTTTTCTTGGTTAATTATGGTTGTTGCCTCATCTCTTCAACACCCTCTCTACCTACTCGTGTGGGCCTTGTCGAAATTAAGTTGACTTTACTTACATGAACTAAGACTTCAAACTATTTGTATTTCAACTCATTAAGCCATATTTTTATTCTTATTAAAATATTTCACCTCGTCATTGCATTTTTTTTCCTCTCGAGTCAGTTTTCGTTATTTTCTTTTAAACCTGAAAGGGTCTAACAGTAACTATACATAATTTTTATGGGAGATAAATGTATATTTATAAAAACTAATCACACTTATGGCCCCTATGTGTAAATATTATATAATTAAATAAGAAAGTTATGTTAAACCAAATTAGCAACTAACCTCCTATGTTGCCTTTTATTTAGTTCACGGGCTCCTAGTGGAACTAAGTATAGTGACTAAAATGAAGTGACTATACTACCCTTAAATTAATAAAATAAAATTAGAATTAATATATAATTGAGGCCAAATTACAATTTTGCTAAATTTCTGAAACTTAAATTGGGGGACTAAATTGTAATTTTCCCAAATATCAAATCGAATTAGATTTAAATATAATTATTCTAAAACTTTGGATCAAATTACAATTTTTAAAATTTCTTCCATAAGAAAAAAAACAAATTATCTATGGAAAAAAAAAACACATTTTCTGTAAAAAAAACACACATTTTCTTTACATATAAACCCAATGGTTACTTATTCATAAAGAAATTCAGACAATAAACTCCTTTACAAAAAAGTCCACATATGGTCCAAATTTTTGTAAAAGACTAAAATAACCCCTCATACTTTAATATGCTCCAATTTTATCATTTAATTTAATTTAACCTCAATCTGACCCCAAATTTCACAAATTATTCAATTTTGACCAAAAACACATTGATATGGACAAATTCGTCCGTCACCGCCATTGACCGTCGGTCTCCGGCGCGGACTTTTTTTTTTCTCCTGATTTTTCCGCCACCGGTCTCTGGCTTTGACTTTTTCGAATTTTTTCTTCTCTCTTTCTGTAACATCTTTTTTTAAACAACAATATTGTTATGATTGACAATAATATTAACTATATTACTGTTAAACACAGTAAAATTAACTATACTACAGTTTAACACATTAATATTGCTATATTAATCTCTAGCACAATAATATTAACACAACAAAACTCATTATTATTGTGTAATAGAGTAATATTCTTATGTTGGCCGTTCAACAAATGTAAACATAATAAAAAGCCAAAAAAATTAATATTACTGCGAGTGACAGTAATATTACTATAACAACAGTAATATTACCGTCAACCACAGTAATATTACAATAATAGACAATTATATTATAACGTTACTCCGTGAATAACTCAAACAAACAAAAAAACCCAAACAAAAGAATAATATCGATGTGGTTGACAACAATATTACTATAAAAACAGTAATATTACCGTCAACCACAGTACAATTATTGTGTTTACGGTAATATTACAATAATATACAGTAATATTATTACGTTACGCCGTGAATAACTCAAACAAAACAAAAAACCCAAAAAAATAATAATATTGATGTGGTTGACAGTAATATTATTGTGTTTACAGTTATTTTACTGTTTGCGACAATAATATAATTAGGTTGACTTGTTAACAAATCAAACAAAATAAAAAAAAAAATTAACAAAAAAATAAAAATAAAAATAATATTACGTTAATTTACTGTCAACGGCAGAACAATTACATAAGTGTATTGTCAACGGCAGTACAATTACGTTAATGTACTGTCATTGACAGTATAATTACGTTAATTTACTATTAGTGACACCACAATTACGGTCAACGTTTAACGACAGACGTAAAAAAATAATAAAAGAAAAACACTAAAAAAGTCAACGCCGGAATCCGGCAGCAGAAAAAAACAGACCAGGAAAAAAAAGTCAACACCGGAAACTGGCGAAAAAATCCGAAAAAAAAAAGTCAAAATTGAATTTTTGTGGACAAAATTGATTAAATTGGGGTTACAATTAATAATTGGGTATAAAGGGTTGTAGGTAATATTCATATACATGAATGTTTCCTTTATTTATAATAAATATTAAAAGGATGTGCTTATTGGTGAAAGAAATATAGCCCCTAAACCTAGAATAATAAAGATGTTTGGTTAGGGACCTATGAACAAAAACCTCGAAAAAGAAAAGAAAAAAGAGAAAATTGCGTCTTGACCACAATTCTTCTCCTTCATTGTCATACTCATCACCAAACTCACAACACCACCTCCGACAATCAACATCTGTCACTGCCGCCCCTTCTTTCCACCACCCGTCTCCTCTGCTCATATCGTCCTCTCAGCCACCAACTTCTCCTAGCCAGTTCCACACCAGCCGAATCTTGTTTTGCAAATTAGTAAACTCCAGCCAAAGCTCTAATCGCCACCACGCCAAAGTCCTAATCGCCGCCATCGCTGGAGAAGGCGATAAAAGGCAAAAAAACAACGAGGTGGTTTGGATCCGGAGGCATCTGGTACCTTGCATAATGGTGGGCTACTATCGAGAGACGTCGAAGAAGATGCAAAAAAATGCAAAATATAGTTTTTGGGTGGGTTTTTTCTCTGAAAAGATCTATTCTCGAGAGGAAGATATTTTCTTGGATTTTCACGGGTTCTTGATGGGTTTGCATAAGAATAAAGTTTGAATCTTAGCTCCAAAGCGAATCGAATTTCGTCGAAGAAAATGTTGGAGTGGTGGGGCCAAGCGGAGGCTGATAATATGGAGGGAGGTGAAGTCAGAGAGAGTGTTCGCCGGAGGAGAGCGTCGGTTAGCAATGTTCAGTGTATTTTTGGAGAACTGCAAATCAGTCCCTGACTGTAGGAAGAAGAGGAATTTTCTGAAACTTCAAGGGACTGAATTGAAAAAATTGAAAACTTTATTTGGGGCTTATTTTTGAAATCTATAATGTAAAGGGCATTTGAGTCTTTTCACGTCAAAAAATCGAACCCCAATCACATATTTGGCTAGTGTATCACACGACCAACTCGTAGTGACTTTAATATTGTTGACTATGTAACACAAGGGGCATGTGCTAATCGTTTTAACATAGGGGTTATTTTAGCCATTATACATTACAAAGGGGTGTGGGATGCTAAAACCTCACTAAAATTACATAAATGCAAAAGATAAAAAAAAAGGGAAAAAAGAAAATATTAATTTCAACGATTCCGACAGTGGGTGTGTCGTTTGTGTGTGTGTTTCTCTTATTTAAAGACCAAGTTGGAAAATGCAAGCTGTCTGCTCTATACATAAATGTATTGCTTGTATTTTTGGGCTACAGGCTTATCTTAAAATTCAATAGTGCAGATTCGAGCGAGAGAGAGAGAGAGAGAGAGAGAGAGAGAGAGAGAGAGAGAGAGAGAGAGAGAGAGAGAGAGAGAGAGAGAGAGAGAGAGAGAGAGAGAGAGAGAGATGGCTTATGCTGCCGTACTTTCCCTTAAGCAGACAATGGATCTCCTTGTGAGCATTCCCAAATCCAAAGAACTTCTTTCCCACTCAGAAACGACGTTTATCTATGGTGCCATGAATTCATTTCTCAAAACAATCAAGTCTCTTCCTAGCATCAAGATAGTCGACGATGCGGCAGCTTCCGAAAGACGAGTCATAGATGCTGTCCAAAAACTCGAACATCTGATCGACTCCAATTTATCGGATCTATTAACTCTTTCTTCTGATCAATCTGAAAGATATGATCAGACAAGTTTCACTCCGCTGCTCTCCCAACAACTACCAAAAGTCAAACAAGAACTTACTTCGTTCGTCACGACTTTGTTGAAGATCACCGACGACCAACGACAACATATCAGGTATTCTAATTTTTCGACTTCTTCTGATTATACATTTGTTGGGGAACAACAAAATCTTCTGGTGGGATTGGATGACCAAATTAAATCGCTAAAAGAACGGATTTTGCATCCCATATCCCTTCCATTTGTTACGTCAGTTGAAGGCATGACCGGTATCGGTAAGACTACACTTGTTAAACAAGTTTACGACGATCCACTTGTTATAGAGAAGTTTGAAACTCGTTTATATGTGCACATCGGCCCACGTTATAATCGATCAGAAGACATTGTGCTACTTGTTCTCAATCAACTTGGCGTAATACCCTCTGATAATGTAGGCATAGATTATTTGAATCGTCAATTGTCGGAGGCTTTATATAGTAAAAAGTATCTACTTGTGTTAGACAACGTATGGGTCCACGTTGGGTTTAGGCTTCCGGATAACAGAAATGGAAGTCGTGTCATCATTATATCTCAGATCCAAAGCTCCTATTATCGACCTGATGTTATGCTAGTACCATTTCTGAAGGAGGACGACAGTTGGAAACTACTTTATCAGACGGCATTTACGAGCGAAGAGGAGTGCAGTCGAGAACTTGAGAAAATCGGGAAGAAGATTGCCAGAAGCTGCGAGGGGCTCCCTGCGGCAATTATACAGGTCGGAGAGAACCTGCGTGGAAGATCCTTCCAAGAATGGAAGACGTTATCAGAAAAGGAAGACCCACTCGTCATCACAAGAGATGACCATACACCCCTCTCAAAGGCACTTTATTTAAGTTACATGATGTTGCCGCAAAATCTAAAGATATGCTTTCTCTATATGGGTGTGTTCCCAAAACATTATGGGATTTCTCGATCCAAGCTCACCAAATTATGGGTTTCTGAGGGCCTTCTGGATCCATACGGGATTGATTACGAAGAAGAAACTGCCGGAAAGTACTTGGATCGACTTATTTGCCTAAGTGTTGCTTTGAGAGAAAAGCGGACCTCGATAGATATTGACACAACTAAGAATTGTAGACTGCATTTCACCTTTCGGAGTCTATGTGTTAATGAAGCTAAGAGTGAAAAGTTTTTCCATATCCTCAAAAGGTACACTGATTGTACTCCAGAGAACATCAGAAGCCAACAACGTTTGTGCGTCCACAATAACGTTGTTCTTGCTTTCGCTCAAGTTCATGAGTGGATGGAATCGGTACCAAATGTACGATCTCTTGTTTGTTTTGGTCCAAAACAACAATATCCAATAGTGTTACCTTTGTGTTTTAGATTACTCAAGGTACTAGATGCACTTGCAATCCGCTTCTATGAGTTCCCACATCAAATAATTGAATTAGGTCGCTTAAGGTACCTTGCCATCACGTGTGACGGAGAGCTCCCCAGTTCCATAATCAGACTTTGGAACCTTGAAGTCTTGAATTTTTGTCGGCATCATAACATCAAATTGTCGAATAATGGTCCGGTTTATCTGCCTAGAGAGATATGGAACATGCATAAACTGAAGCAACTTTATTGTATGGGCTTTGATCTGCCAACTCCTCCTTCGGATGATTCTCATCTTGAGAATCTCTTAACACTTTCAGGTGTGAGTGTTCAAAGTTGTACCAAGGAAGTGCTATTAAGAATCCCCAACCTAAAGAGAATAGCCGTTCAGATTGAGTCAGCACACGACTCAATGGAAACCTTTACTTTTTTCGGTCATTTTGCCTCTCTCTATCAGAAATTTGAGTCGTTCAAATGCATCGTTGTAAATCCTAATCTGAGCTCGCAGGTTGTTCATTGCATTCCGAATTTTCCAGTGAACATTACGAAGATAAGTCTGAGTGGGTGTGGATTGCCGTGGGAGAATATTGAAGTGATTGCAAAATTACCAAATCTTAAAGTGCTCAAACTGCGATGGTATGCCTTTTGCGGCCCCGTGTGGGAAATCCGTGAAGGACAGTTTCCCATAATTGAGTTTGTGCTGCTAGAGGACTTGGATATAGAACACTGGGAATCCAACGGTAAACATGACTTCAACGGGCCGAGCCAAGCGATTTTTAGGCATTGCTACAAACTGAAAAACATCCCTCGTCAACTGGTGTTTGCCAGACTAGTGGAGGTGGATGACTGCAGCATATCCTTTGTGAATAAAATGCGCGAATGGCGATCCGTTTTCGGTGAAGAAGCTAAAATCCGTTCTTCATGTACTGATCGATAAAATTAATCAATTGTCTCCAAATCTAGGTGATTTTTTTACGGTCAATTCAATGGTATAAACTGATGTTGTCTTTGTGAATTGTGATGGAGAATATATATAACCTATTTGTTGATATAAAGTTGAGTTTATTTAGAAGAAAGTCTTGAGCAAGAGTGATGGTGCAGAGTAGTTATATTTTACTTTGGCTTATGTGCTAATTTTTAACAGCTAATGTGATATTCTAAGTTTGGGGTTTCATTAAATTAATTAGGATCCAAATTTAAGAAAAATGGATTTTCTAGTAATACAGTTAAACCTTTTATAAATTAAAAAAATCGGGACTAGCAAAATTCTATTAATTTAGCGAAATATTAAATTATCGAACTAATAATTTAGTACGTTTTCACCGAGTGGGGACCGGGAGAAAATTATTATTTAAGCGAATTTATTAATTTATCTGAGGTTCTATTGTATGTGAGAGAAAAAAGTTGATTAATTAAATTTATTTAAATAGATGATCAAATTGGGTTTAAAATTATAATTAACCTAAGTTTCCCTACTGGACCTTGATGATAAAATTTTGAATCAGACGATTCAATTAAGTTATAAGGGATAATTTGCTAAACACTTATAAGTGCTAACTGGTTTTAAATCACGACGGACTAACTTTTGTAATTTGTTAAAAGTCATTTGTTCTTTACACCCGCCTTCATCACACTATTTTAACTGTTCTCCGTCAAATTTCGTACAACTTTGCTACACTCCGTCAAATATGCTCCACCCACACTCTTCGCCGCTGCCATCACCGAAGCTTCGTCCACACACACACACATACGATTTTGGTCACACTCATTCATCTCCACTGTAACCTAATAACCATGGAAACCAAAATGAAAAAATATGAAGAATTGTTCGGTGATGGTGATGGTAATGTTAGTGGTGATCCAGAGATTTAAGTTTTTCTACAACTTATTTTAACTAAGTTGTGTAACTTATAAGCTATGCAAATAAACTTTCAAACCTGTCTAACTTCATAGTAAAATTACATGGAAAAATATGTTTGTTTTTTTTTGTAAATTGTTGCTCGTTAGTATTACTAAGCTCCGTAAATAAATTTTGTAAGATGTATGTGTAAGTTGTGTATGTGTTGTGGGATGCATCTAATCTTATATTAGTTTTTCTTCAGTTTATTTTAACTAAGTTATTGCTATAAGATGTTACTTATTAATATAACTAAGTTGTGCAAATTAGCACGTCGCCGTTACTTTTAATTTTCGTAAGCAATTTCATTAGAGATACTCCAGACCTAGCGTCAAATCAAAAATCCGCCTGTTTTTATAACCATGGGAAATATTTTTGAAGGGCTCCAGCCCCATTAAATTATGATCTAATTAGGATTCTAATAGAGTCCAGTTTGAAAATTTCACTAAATAGGGTAAATTATATGGTTGCAGGACTGCTTAGTTATATGTTATATGACTGCTTAGTTATATGTTGCTTTACATTTCTTATATTTTTCATATATTACAATGTCTTTTATAAGTTGTACAATAAGTTGTAGTTTATTTCTTTTGGGAACACTTTTTCACTTATTATTTAAAAAAAAATCATTGTGTATTAATTCAATACAAATGAATTATTTAAGCATTATAATATAAGCTCAAAATTAAAATAAATAATAAAATTTAAAAGAAATACGATAAAAAAAACTCATGTGAATGACTAAGATTGATCTTAAATATTGAGGTTAAAGAAATGTTAACTTTAATTTGCTATTGTTTATGTTTCCATTCATAAGAAAAACAATAATTAATTATAGTCAGTTATTTAAGGGGAAATTTGCTAGACACCTCTTATTTTGGACTTATATAGGTAGAAGTTCTAGTTGCTAGATGAATATAGGCCTAAGTCCTTCCACATAAAAAAATAATATAAATTAAATATTAAAAAGAATATATAGACATAAGTACCCTTATTGAATAAACATATTTTAGGGGATTCAGTTATTTACGTAAAGTTGGGAAATCAAATCCCACTAATCACGATTGAAGGCAGAGTATGGTGTAAGCCGTTTGGAAAACAGATCTTAGTCGATTCAAGTGGAATATGAGATCATCATGAATAGTTCGACAAACTAATACGAGCGTATTACAATTAAACGCGAGAGTCGGTGTTGATAATCAGTTAATCCTTTTTTTGGCCTGCAATCAACATGAAATTGAATTATACGAAAAGGTTTGTTAATTAATGTTTGTTGTTTTGAGTTTTCGATTTATTAATCGTCGTTTTTACAATTTAATTTTCGTTCAATATTGTTTGCAGTTTATCGTTCTCCACAAAATTGGCGTTCAGGTATGATGTATTAGTATCGGTGATGAAAGTGTCGGACGGAACGAGTTATAAGAAATTAGTTGATTTTGTTTGCTCGAAGTGGAGTTGCCTATGTCCGGGTAATTTTTCATTGACATATAATTTGTTAAATCATAGGGAATGCGTCCTGATGGATGACGAAGATGTTGGGGTGATGATGGATTACGTTGAAAAATTTTCAATCGACAAAGTATTTGTGAAAGTTACCTTAAAAGATGGTATGTTAGCAAATGATAACATGAATATTTTTGATTCACCAAATGAAAACGAAATTATTACAGTTTATGAAAATACAACGTCAGCTCGAATTTCACCCGGAGGATCACAGAACGAAAGGACAATGTTGAGTGCAAAGTGGAGTTATTTAATACAAGATGTGGGGCAAGTATTTGAAGAGGGGGTAGAAAATTTTAGAAAATGTTTAGTAAAATTTGCGTATCAGTGCGGTTTTCAATTTGAGTATTTGAAGAATGACAGAAAAAGGGTGACTGTTGTGTGCAAACAAAAAGAAGCTAAAAATTGCCCTTGGAGGATTCATGCTAATGTAAACATAAATAATGGATTTTTCTACATAAGAACTTTCAATAAACCGCATACTTGTGGTGTGGCACTATGTCGTTCGAAAAAAATTAGAATGAGTACAGAAATTGTGGGTGAATTAATGGTTAGTGACGTACGAATCATGCCACAAATGACGCCTACCGATGTTGTACAACAAATTAGGGATAAGTACGGAATCAACGTTACTTACTATGTTGCGTGGAACGCAACTGACAAAGCCAGGGGGCTATTTTTGGCGACCACCGATCATCATATTCTGCGTTAATCGCGTATTTTAAGGAAGCAGAACGTGCCAATCCTGGTAGTGTGTTCGATGTACAATATGTCCAAGAGACTTTGACATTCAAACGATGTTTTTTTGTGTTTAGTGGATGCTTAATTGGTTTTCGCGCTTGTCGGCCAATGATACAAATTGATGGAACATTTCTTAAAGGCAAATTCGGCGGTATTCTTCTCAGTGCCGTGTCAAAAGACGCTAACGATCGTTAGTAATTTAAAATTTATTACATATTTTCTTGGTAGTAACTGTGTGTACTGAATGTGTTAATGTTTTATGTTTAATGTGTTAAATGTGGTATGTTTTACGAGTTCTGAAGGGGTGTCAATCAAATTTTCCCTTTTGTATATATTGGTAAAACTGCAAATTGCAGATTGCAATCACGAACCAATAACTGCGAAATGCAAATATGTGTGTTGTTTGTCTCACCATTTTTTAACAACGGCAAATTTTTATATATATTGCAAACGACAAAGATCATTGCTTTCCAGTTAGTGTGCGATGTACAAGCAGTATCATTTTTAATATGCATTTATAGCATGTCAAGCAGTATCATGTTTAATTTTTTTTTTTAATGTATTGTTTGATGCAGGACTTTTCCCTATTGCATTTGCTATAGTTAACGAAGAAAGCGATGATAACTGGGACTGGTTTTTAGCATTGTTAAAACAGGCAATAAACGACGATCGTGTGTTCACGTTTATTTCCGACAGACAACATGGCATTCTGGTCGGGGTTAAAAAAGTGTTTCCAGACTCTTTCCACTCATTTTGCCTCAGGCACATGACAGGTAATTTGAACAACAAGTTTAAATGGGTCCCAACTGGTTACATGGAGGCAATCGTTGGCCAATTTATATCATGTGCATTTGAATTATCAAAGACATCAATCGACAAGAAGATTGAGAAGCTTAAAGCTAGTGGGTCAACTAGAATTGTCAATTTTTTGAATGACTTGCCTTATCACAATTGGGCGAACGCATATTTCAAAGGGCAACGATATGGTGAAATGTATTCAAATGGCGTTGAATCATGGAATTCAAAAATCCTTGATTATCGCGACTTACCGGTTATGACTATGATAGATATAATTAGGAGTGATGACCTCAAGGAGAGATAAATCATCCAAGTGGTCGACCATATGTTGCCCCAAGTACGAGAAATCTTTGGTAGAGCTTGAACTCGAATGTAGGACATGGAAAGCTGAGAAGGCTGCAGATGGTATTTACGAAGTTCTTAGTGACCCGTCCATGGTCATAGATTTGTCACAAAAAACTTGCACATGTCGAAAGTGGCAGATACTTGGGTTCTCGTGTGTTCATGCGGTCTATGTATTAGTCAATGAGACGTCACAACCGTACGATTACATTGACAAATTACATTACGCAGAATATTACAGGGAATGTTATGCCTCACCCATTTATCCGTTTGTGAGGCACAGTTCAAGGGATGATGAAGTTTGCGTTTGCCCTCCTGAATTTAAAACACGTCGTGGTAGACCAAAGAAGAAGAGGATACCGTCTGTTGGCGAGAAGATAAAAAGGAAAATAAGATGCGGGAGATGTAAAGAACTCGGTAATCACAACAAGAAGTCTTGTACAAATCCGATGTATTCTTAGGGGTGATGCTTTTTAGTTATGTTTTTTTATCTTTCATTTAAGAACTTGTGCTATGATTTTCAAGCTTCTATTTTTGAATTTTTTTTTTATTTATTATTAGCTTATGTTGATGTTTTACCATTTTAAATGAAATGAACAATTTAGCAGATGGTAAATTTTGATTAGCTTATGTTCATGTTTTGATTAGCTTATGTTCATGTTTTACCATTTCGCAAATGGTAAATTCGCTACATACCACAAACACGAAGCTATTCAGCAAATACGTACCTCCATCTTTTATGTTATAAACAGCAACCAACAAATAGCAAACAACAACTATAAACTTTTACAGCATTCAGTGAAAATGCCGACTTTGTTTGGTTCATTAGATTGCTAGTTGCACTAGTTAGCACACAATATGTGTAAAACACAACGAAAATAACAATTTATCTAATTTGTTAAAATGTCCTAGTAAATAGCGAAAATTGAAACTGCAAACATAAAACAGTACCTTGTCCCTATCTATTGATTCCAAAGTGCTTCCTTGAACCATATCAAGGATATAAGAAATATTCCATTTTCTGAATCTTGGAAATGCATTGACAGATTTAGGTAGTACCAACGATGACCTCTCGGCGAGCCAATACTACGAAAAATAAATAAGATAATTAGTAAAAAAATCATATGTACTTGAAATTTCAATGAAAATGCATAATGCTAATGCTAATAACTAATGGAATTTAATCACCAGTATCAGCAGGCTGCATCCAGTAACCGACTCTGGGTCATGAGTTTGCATTGAATTCAGAAAGTATGAAGTTATCTCTTGCGCCCAATTGTAGTTAATGATGTTATCCAAATCTTCAACATACTTAATCCATGACCATGGAACCACATCCCCTCCGGTGGTGAAGAAGAAATTGACCATTAGAAACAGCAGAACGATCCTCGTCACATCTTCGATGTCATGTTCTTGGGTTTTCTTCATCAATTGATCCAATCAATTGATCCAGGGTTGCATTTAGATGTTTAACTTGTAGTCGCTTCACGGATTGAAAGTGCCTTGCTACGATGCCATCCCTCGGTTTATGACTGCTTTTTTTAAACGTTATATTCATGCCGGTGGCGCCGCTTTTTACCCCAAAAATCAATTGGCACTCAATAGGGCTTAACTGAAGCTATTTTCCATCAATTATAAATCGACGTTTATTTTTGTCATACGTCACGAGAATTTTCTATATTTCTTGTACAGACTTACGGACTTCCTGCGTTGGGATCTCTCTCCTCATAAACGGCGGTATAAATTCTGCAAACGCGGTCCTTTGAACACATTCAACGTGGCGTTCATTGAAATTATATTTTTTGAAGAAGCGGACAACAAAAACGAGTGTTGCACGATATTTCCTGCTCAACTGGTGCCCTCAAGCTAGGTGCTGTTGATTTTGTCTTCACTTTTTTTGACGATGTTGAACCGGCATTTAAAGGCGTGTTCCGTTTCTACTAATAAACTCTAATTTCCAGCAATTTTTTGTATTTAAAGGCGTGTTCCGTTTATAATTTTTCTTTCCCGCGACTGGTTGCTGTTGATTGACATATTTCCTGCGTTGACTTTCTTTTCTTAGAAAAAAATATTTTAATTAATATTACTGTCTTGGCTACTATTATTGTCTCAGACAGTACAGTAATATTATGAATATTATTTTCCCGAACAGTAATATTATTGTCTAAGACAGTTAAATTACTGTTGGAGACAGTAATTTAGCATCCAAGGCAGTAATATTAATTAAAATAATTTTTTTTACGAAAAAAAAAAAAAAGTCAATTAACAGTTAAATTACTGTCTTCGACAGTCAAAATGGCTGCTGGAGACAGTAATTTAGCAACGAATACAGTAATATTAATTAAAAATATTTAAAAAATAAATAAATAAATAAATTAACAGTTAACTTACTGTCTCCGATAGTTAAATAACTGCTGGAGACAGTAATTTAGCAACGAATACAGTAATAATAATTAAAATAGTTTTGAAGAAAAAAAAAAGAGTCAATTAATAGTTAAATTAGTGTCTCCGACGGTTAAATAACTGCCGGAGACAGTTATTTACAGCCAAGACAGTAATATTAATTAAAATATTTATTTTAAGAAAAAACAAAATTATAAAAAAAAAAAAAAAAAAAAAGTCAACGCCGGTCAACGGCGGCGACCGGCGGTCTCCGATGGTGGCGGGTCAAAATTGGGGTCAAAATTGAAATTAGAGTTAAAATTGGTTAATTGACGAAATTGGCTAAATTGGGGTGTAAATCATGAAATTGGAGTTGAATTGGTTTTCAATGAATTGGGGGTCATTTTGGTATATATAAAAGGATTTTCCTTATTTGCAAATAAGTTTGAATGAACTGGATTTATTTGAAAGACAAAAAAGTTGGATGTCCCTCTTTTAATTAAGTGCCCTTGTCATGGGCTTATTTGCCATTACCCCTATTTAATTAAATATTTAACAAAATACTATCTAATATCAGTGTTTTAAATATCAGTTGTGGCGGCCGATATATCGGCTGCCATATCGATGGCGGGCATAAACCTTTACGATATTTGTGTGGCGGTTTTGAAAATCGGATTTTTTACGGTGAGGCGGTCCGAGGCGGTCTGTGGCGGGTCAAACCGATATATCAGGTCAAACTTCGAGCGATATATCGGAAAAATATTTTTTTTTCTATTTTTTTTATTTATTATTTATTACAAGGAAAATAGGGTATATTTTTTATTTTTTTCAATTCCAACTCATTATCTCTTTTAATCAAACCCAAACTCACCGACCCCATAAGAAGAACTGGCCTAAAACTAAAAAAAACATTTAGAACGATGAGGAGAGAATCAAGTTCTATAAACGTTAAACTTTTGTTATGTGATTAGATTATATAACGACGAGGAGAGAATCAAGTTCAAATTTTTTTTTTATACATTTTAAGTATTAAAAAAATAATATTTAGACATATATTACACTAGATCTAAAAATCAATTTATTTTCGATATATCTCCAAGTAATCACCGCCGCACCGATTTATCGTGTGGCGGTCCCTAACCGCCTCGGACCCGAGAACCGATATTTAGAACCTTGTCTAATATACCTAATTTGCCTTACTTGGTTATTACCCAAATTGTGAAACTCTAGTATTTTCTCCCCTCTCTCGTTTATGATTTTCATCAACCATCTTTCTCTATTATTTTCCTGTCAATGTCTCTCCTCTCCATTTTCTCTCTATCAGGGGCCACGTTTCTCTCTTTTGCCTCTTTATGTTGCCGTCGGTTCCATCACCGTCTCTAATCGCCAACTACATAATCTCTCCATTTCCACTGCCACCCCTCCCACTTTTATATCCCTATTTTTACTCCGACAAAGTTGTGAAAGATAGGAGAGAACTACTGGAATCAGACTGACTAGGGCGCTCACCATAAAATTGTAGGAGGATATTTGAATTTGTAATAGAGAGGTTGGGTTTCTGATCGACGTCCGATGTGGCCTCATCCTTCATACTTCGCAGCCGCCCTTCTCCTCCTTACACATCTACCCGCTGCCGTCATCGTGTTAATTAAAAAAAAATGTGATGCTTTTTATGTTGAGTAGGTTTCAAAGAAATATAGTTGTTTTTGTTATTCAGCTATTTCGTAAGGGATTTTTGTGCATAAGTCTCTCACCAACCATCTTTAATTCTTTATTATTATAGGTTAAGTGGTTATATATTTTTCTCCAATATGTCCATCCATTTAATATGCATTATAAATAAAGGAAAAATTAATGTATGATAAAATTGCCTACAACTCTTTAAACCCAATTCCTAATTGTAACTGAAACTTAGCTTCAATTTAATTAATTTCGACCACAAAAAAAATCAGTTTTGAATTTTTTATTAAAAAAAAAAATTGAAATTATTTTTGCTGCCGGTTTCCGACATTGACTTTTTTTTTTTTTTTTTTTCTGCCAGTTTTTTCCGACGCAGATTTTCGGCGTTGACTTTTTTTAGATGGTTTTTTTTCCCTAAAATTTTTATCCATTTTTTTACGACTGTTGTTGAACGTTGATCGTATTGTACTGTCATTCACAGTAATTATATTGTAGCTGACAGTACATTTACGTAATTGTACTATCACCGACAGTACAATTACTGTCAACCACAACAATATTATTATTTTTTGGCATTTATTTTATTTATTTGATTTGTTGATAAGTCAACGTAATTATATTACTGTCGTTGACGGTAAAATTACCGTAAACACAATAACATAACTGTCAACCACATCAATTTTTTTTTTTTGCTTTGTTGTTTTGTTTGATTTGTTGATTGATTAACGTAATAATATTATTGTCTACTATTGTAATATTATTGTAAACACAGTAATATTATTGTGGTTGCGGTAATATTATTATTATTACATTAATTATTGTTGTAATATTACTCTATTACAAAATAATAGTGATTTTTGTTGTGTTAATATTATTGTGATAGAGAGTAATATAACAATATTACTGTGTTAAACTGTAAAAAGTTAATATTACTGTGTTGAACAGTAATATAGTTAATATGACTGTCAACAGCAGTACTGATGTTTAAACATGGCAAAAAGATATAAAGTAACAAATAATTCTGAAAAAAAAGAACAAAATAAAAAAGTCAACGCCGGAGACCGGCGGTCAACGCCGAAAATTGGCGGAAAAATCAGGAGAATAAAAATAATGAAAAAGTCAACGCCGGAGACCGACGGAAAAATTAGGAGAAAAGTAAAAAAAATCAATGCCGGAAACCGGCGGAAAAATTAGGAGAACAGAAGAAAAAAAAAATTTCAACAGTGACGGACGAAATTGTACTTAAAATTGAGTTTTCTGTCAAAGTTGAATAATTTGTTCAATCTGAAGTCAAATTGAGGTTAAATCAAATTGGAACATATTAAAATGTGAGGGGGTATTTTAGTCATTTATACATCTCTGGACAATATGTGAATTTTTTGTAATAATTTTTTTTTTATCTGAACCCTTTTATAAATAAATATAGGATGATGGACTTATTTGTAATGGAAAAAAAAAAATAATAACAAATACAATGAGGAAAACAATGAAATATCCTATGAATTGCATAATTAGTTACTTCCGATATTCAATCAGAAATTCAAATGAATGAACAAATAAATAAATAAATGGCCAATCAGAAAATAAAAATAACAAAAAAATAGATGGATGTAATAGAATCCAAAGACTGGACAAAAATCTAAGACCCCATTATTATAGGGTTTGTGCTTTTCCATCATTTTATTATAGACACTCAACTCTCAACCATCCATTTTTAGAGCAAATCTTTCTCTAACTCAAAAATCAATGTAGTCTTACTTAGGAATCATCCATTGTCCCATTTCCCAAGAATCCAAATTTAAAAAAAAAAAGAAAAAAAAAAGAAACTAAATATTTCATTTGACAATGCCTATATACACATATATTATTCTTTCAACAAGGAAGTCAAGGAGTTGATTTTTTGTAGATTTGTTGGGAGATTGGATAATTAAAGAAAAAAGGAAAAAAAAAAACAGGGCCAGCAGATATTAAAGAAAGGGATATATATATACATATATACGTATAGATATATATATATATATGCATGCATGCATAAGCAAAAAAATATAAAGGTTGAAAGAGAGAGCTTTCATGTTTCAAAAAACTCTCCAACATCAAAGGAAAAAAAGATGAAAGGATGGGATAATTTTTCGTCGAGTAAATTGGAAATAATCGAAGATATTGCCGTGATTGTTGGATTGGTTATTGTGCAGTTTCTCTATGCAGGGAATTCAATCTTGATTAGCTATCTCTTGAAGCTCGGCATACACGATTCCACTCTTATCGTCTTCTCCACTTTCGCCACCTTCGTTGTTCTCTCTCCTCTCTCTATCTTATTCGAAAGGCAATTCATTTCTCTCTCTCTCTCTCTCTCTCTCTCTCTCTCTCTCTCTCTCTCTCTCTCTCTCTCTCTCTCTCTCTCTCTCTCTCTCTCTCTCTCTCTCTCTCTCTCTCTCTCTCTCTCTCTCTCTCTCCGTGTTATAATCGAAAAATACGAATCAATCATTGTTAGTGTTGTTGTGCATGTTGCAGGAAACAATGGCCTACAAAGTTAACTTACAAGCTGTGTGTTCAGTTGCTTCCCACTTTCTTTTGGAGGGTAATTAATTAATTAACATATTTTTTTTTACAATTTTCTTATAAAATTGATATAATATATTATTTATTTTGTTTGATTTTTTTTATATTATTATATTTGCAGGGTGACTGTATTTCAGACATTGTTCATGAAGGGAGTTAATCTCACTTCACCAGCAATGGCAACAGCTATGCCAAATCTTGCACCTGGTCTCATATTTTTCATTGCATGGGCCTGCAGGTGTATATTCTTTTTGTTTATTTTTTTCCCATAATTATTAAAAAAAAAAAGTTAAATAAGAATATGATTTGGCATAAGTCGAGTCGATTTATTATCGATTTTCACCAAATTTCGAAAACCCCCGACCTTCGTTAATGGTTTGCACCCACCTAATTTACTTAAAAAAAACTTAAAATCCATATGATCTTTTTTATTTCATAAAAGTTACTTATTTAGTTGTAATTTGAACAAGTTTTATATTAAAATAATTGATTGGTCAGATAATTATCGTCCAACCGACTTTTGAGCATACTGGCAACCACTAAACATCAACCAAAAAATAAAATTAATTAAAAATATCATGGCCTCATGATTGAGTTAGTATTATATATTACAGTTAGACCTCTATAAATAAATATAGTCGGGACCAGCCGAATTCTGTTAATTTAGCGAAACATTAATTTAACGATATCCATTTTAACACGTTGTCCTCAAGTTGGGACCGGAAAAAATATTAATAAAACGAAGTTATTAATTTATCGATGTTCTACTGTTGACTCTGAATATGTCTTGTTTCTTTACATACACGACATACATATACATATGCGTATATAAGTATGGATTTCATTGCATTATTTTGCAGATTAGAGAAAATAGAGTTAGGATGCAGATACAGCAGAGCAAAGATTGCAGGGACATTACTATGTGTATTTGGAGCTGTTTTCATGAGTCTGATGCAAAGTACTCACGAGAAAACCGCAAAGGAGGCTAAAATTGCGTTTTTATCACCGCCAGCTGAATATACCGTTTTCGACAAGAAAACGATCATCGGTTGCTTATATCTCATTGCAGCAGTTTTCGTCTTGTCCAGCCAAGTCGTTTTGCAGGTGCAAACAACAATTTAAATACGATTATTTTGATTTATTTTATTTATTTGAATATTTATTATAAGTTGTGAAAAATCGATTATTTAACACGCAGGCGATAACGTTGCGCGATTTCCCTGCATCCATATCTTTGTGTGCACTAACATCGTTCATCGGTGTGGTGATTACCGCAATTGTTCAAGTTGTTGAAGATCAAAAATGGGATTTTGGATGGCCTATTTTGAGTATTCAAGAAATGATTGCCTACTCCATTTTGGTAAGTTTCGATTATTATTTCCTATGTTCTATCAAATAATTTAATACTATTTCTTGGGCAAATTACGGCCACCTCCCTGAAGTAAGGTCAAATTACGAAAAAAACTCCTCATGTTTGTGTAATTACAACCACCCCGTCAACTGTGTATTTTCTAATGAAAAAACCCCTCATTCAATAGGTAAATTTAACACCGTAAGGGTGGACGTGTAAGACAATACATAGTTGAGGGAATGAATGTAATTACCCAAACATGAGTTTTTTTTTTCTTCCGTAATTTGACCTTACCTCAGGGGGTGGCCGTAATTTTCTCTAATTAATATGTTCGTATCGTCTAAAATAGGGTTGTGGTTGAGTTGAGCTCGGTTTTGAGGGCTCAAGCTCACCATAAAAGCTCTCCGTAAATTTATAAACGAGTCTATTTTTCGAACATCTAACAAGTTTAGTTTCTGAATTTTGAATAATAACTATTAGTATATAAATTAATATATTTTTTTATAGAGGAAAAGTGGCCAATCGAGTCATGAACTTTGAACAATAAAAAATGAGCTAGCTCAAACTCGACTTATTAGAATGTTCGAGCTTGAAAATACTTTGTACAACTCGAGCATTCACTGAGCCGGCTCAGCTCATCTACAACCGTTTAAAAAAGATTTTACAAGGATAATTAATAATTAAATATATGATTTTATTGAGAACTTATAATTAATAAAAACAGGCAGGGAGTATAAGTGGAATATGCATAAGCTTCAATGCATGGGCAATGAAGAAAAGAGGTCCAGTTATGGTTTCCATATTCAATCCCCTTGGAACTGTCATTTCTTCTTTCTTCTCTGTTATTACCTTAGGTGAATCCATTCGCGTCGGAAGGTACGTAAATCCGATAAATCGATTACCCTTTTTTTTTTTTTTAATATTGTTAAATAAAAAAATAAAATAATTTAGACAATCACAAATTATTGAGACAATTTCTTGCTTCATTTTTTTTGGCAGCCTCGCGGGTATGTGTCTGATGTTCACCGGTCTGTATTTCGTGCTTTGGGCTAAAACAAAGGAAGGTTTTCCGATCGATGAAAGCGCCATTGAAGCTGAGTACGACGTTGAGAAGCCGCTTCTAGCTTGATTTTTAGTTTCATTTCGAGAAAAAAAAACGATGATTTAATTCGGTGTTTTCTTTAGTGTGTTTGAGGAAAATTATAAGGTAGAAAGAAGTGGTAATATGGTGTGTATTGTGAAATTTCATGTGATTTAGTTTAGCACTGGTAATTCAGTTTTGAGATGTGGAACTCAAACAAAGTTATTTCTAGCTTCTAATTATAGTGTTGATAGATATATATATATATATATATATAGTTTCTTTCTCATTTTGGATTATGTATATAACTAAATAAGTTATGAACTAATAATGCTCTTTAGTCTTCATTTCATTTTAATTACTCTCTATTTATGTTTTTCTATCTACCTTATTTAATTAGTCATAATGTAAATTTATAGGAATAAACAAGATACTAATAATGGGTAGGATTCTTTCAACAATGTTGTGAATTTAGTATAGTAGGATCAACATGTAACTTGTCACTCTTCGACGCGGTCAGAGAAGCTTTGTGTAAACTAACTGAAAATAAATTTATAAAAACTAAATACATTGGACATAAATGGACCACCAAATTTTGGAGTTACTTCCAAATTAGGCTCTTGCGCATAGGGTTGTTCATGGGTCGGTTTTACCCGACAACTGATCCATTATCTGCCCGACTATTCTGGCCGATAATTGCTCACCAATCAACTCGTTTTGGTCGGGCCGATAATTTTAACCAACCCATGCATGGTTGGATCGGGTATAGTTTCTGATTTGTTGAAAGTCGGTTGGCCGATATTACCCCAACCGACTTTTTTTTTTAATTATTATTTTTATATTTTTCTTTGCGTTTTTACTAACTATTAATTTCAATATTTAATTTTTGACATTTCGGTGAAATGAATAAAAATACACAATGAAAAAAACTCTGTTGGTATATATATATATATAACAATCTGCGTAAACGAAAAATACTTACTTGTTTGTCGAAAAGAGGAATTGTGAAAATCATAAAGAACGATCGAGGCTTGCCAAAACAATTCCCTTAAGACAATATTTTCGGGCTGTCAACGGTGCACAGTCTCTTCCCGGTAGTCTCCCAAGATACAACGATCGGTTGTCGAATATTTGCACGAATATTCGACCCACGGCGAACTTGAACAATGAACGGAACTTTGACGAAGAGAGAAAAATATGAAGAATTATCTCTCAATTGTCGATTAAATTCAGTACATAATTGACCAGATTCTGCCTTTATTTATAGGTTGTAGAGATCCATTCACAGATGGATGCAATGGTTGGGAGAAGAAGCAGAGAGATGTGTCTGTTCTTTTTACCGAGTTCAAAATACGTAGGAAAATTAATTGGTCATGGGCCAATTAATTAAATATTTTGTTTGGGCCAAATGTTTTATTATTTAAATTTTGGTTCAAATAATTTGACTAACTACTAAATGTCCCCAAAAGTAATATTTGTGGACACCTAAACCCAAACTAGTCCTATCACTCGATCACATCGAGCGCACATCTTTTGAACTTTAACTATTTAATCAAGAAAATTTTCATTCACTTTACTTCATGATTATGATCAAGTAAATAAATGAAATTAATCTTTTCATAATTTTATTAATATTAGTACTCAATATTAATTATTGGAAATCATGAAAATTCCAACAATCCCCCACATGAATAAAATTGTTCTTCCAATCTTATCGCATAAGATCTATTTGTCAAAATTCCTTAGTGAATAGTACAACATCGGGATAGGTGAAATGTTTCATCTTGAACCTTCCCTAGTTAAAGCTTATCGGATTTACTTAGCCAATCGGTGAATTATTTCATCTTGAACCGTCGGCTGTTTGTGTAAACCAAGACAATAAACTTAACACCATACTAAACGAACATGTTCAAGTTCCCGGTTGTGTTCGTTTTGGCCCTGAACATCCTCGGGTTCTGCGAGTGCTTTAGAGAATTCCAGCCTTTAAGAGTTCTCAACGAGCCGACCCAGCTCACACTAACATAGGTGACCGCATCTATAAAGAGTATCCTACTATACCCCACTTGTAAATTACAAGATATAGACGTCATTAAAAGCAATAGCTTAACCTTTTTGAACGTCGTAGGTTGCACTTATTGCATCATAGGAATAAAGTGGAGTTAAACTCCTAAGTGCTACGTTTATTTAAGTTACACAAAACTGGTTGTCCTATTGAACTTGGTCCGTGGGATCTCCAGTCGCCAAGTTAGGTTTCCGTATAAGGTAAATTAGTTATTTAGGCTTTAAACTTATTCCCCTCGATGCACATTTAACTCTCTCGCTAGATAAACCTTTATTAAATGGATCCGCAAGGTTATCTTAGGACTTCTGAAAATCAATGGAAATTTATTCCATTAGAGAGTAAATGTATCACGTTATATGTCTACAATGAATATGTCGAGACTTACTATAGTAAAGTATGAGAGCAATTTGTTAATTGATTATTTTTAAATCAAATATCTAATTATATTGCTTCGCTATATCCCCCAAGGACATATACAAACATATTTAACTTGTAGTCAAATACCCCCACATTTGGAGATATTTATAGCTCAATTATATATATTTCCATAACTCATAAGGAATGTTCATCTTGTGTGAAACTCTATTTAATATGTCATTAGACACACAAGGAGTTTCCCCCACAAGTTGTTCGGTAAACTCAAGTTTAATCGTGTCTTTAAATCATGATTTTCCTTTTGACTACCCCATTCGATGTGAATAGGGTGCAATGATTTTTCTATGCACACAAATAAGTTACTCATATTATCCGCTCTATCGGATTTAAGAAGTTATCTTCTTATTTTGTATTTCACAAATACGCATTTGCTACCTTTTTATTAAACAAAATGTTAAGAACTTTAATTTTTATTGAGAAAATACTCACAATATGATTGGACAGAATCATATTGCATCGTTTAAATCAAGAACTAACTTACAATAGTTTTGAAAACAGAGAAATCAAGCACCCCTCATGAGTGCTTATTTGAAGGATAAATAAATATTGATTATGCCCAAATTCAACCAAGTCATTGGATTGAAACAATATTGTTTTAAAAGAAAAAATAAAATATTTATATGATTTAATAATTTTAAATTTCATACAGACTTGTAAAATATAGGGCAATTTTGAAAACAATATACTAGTAGAAAACTTGTATAATAAAAACCTTGTTTTACACACTATATTTTTTCAACACAATAAGTTCTTACAACTCTTATCACAAAATGCAAATAAACCATATAAACTAACAATTATTAATATAAATGTAGTATCTTAGTTCTTGCCGATAACGGCTACGTTCGCCTTAAAGAGACCGTCACATAGGTACCCTTTTCCGACGTAGAACCCTCCTTTGGTTATCACAAATTTGTCCGACTCAAAAGCCAACTTGAAACCTTTCTTGGTTAGGATAGAACCACTGATTAAGTTCTTCCTAATATCCGGAACGTGTAGCACATCGTTCAAGGTAACTTCCTTTCTGGAAGTGAATTTTAGGATCACTTGTCCTTGTCCTTCAACCACCGAATAAGCATCATTTCCCATGAAGAGCTTTTGTTCTTGTTCCAACTTTTTATAGGAGGAGAACATACTCTTGTCATAGCAAATGTGACGAGTTGCCCCAGTGTCTATGCACCATCCTCGAGTATCGCTCAATAGGTAGGCCTCTGTTACGACTGCCGAAAGGTGCATGCTGTCGTTCTCGGAAGTAGCTAAGTCCACGGGGACATTTGCTTCATTTTTATTGTTTTCTTTGCGGTGGCGGCAATCCTTCGCAAGGTCATTCTTTCCACAAACAAAGCACGCTCTGGTGAACCTTTTCTTCTTGTTATTTGGTCATTTGTTAAAGGTAAGACCGTTTCGCTTGTTGCTCTGCTTCGAGCTCTCCACCACGTGTGCCTTAGCCACGAATTGACCACCCTTGTCGGTAATTTTATTATCCTCCTCGGTCTTGAGCCTTGCTATGAGTTCCTCCATCGTCCATTTGGCAACCAATTTCTTGTGCCTTAGGTAGTGTTTGAACTCCGTCCAACTCGGTGGAAGCTTTCCAATTATGGAAGCCACTTGATAGGATTCGCTCACCTCATGACCCTCGGCGAGAATATCGTAGATCATGAGTTGGAGTTTATTCACTTGCTCACTCACAGTTTTGCTATCGACCATTCGATAAAATTGGAATTTGTCTACTATGAATTTCCTATATCCCGCATCTTCAGACTTGTATTTCTTGGACAAGCTATCCCACAAAAGTTTAGCAGTCTTTATAGGACTATAAACTTTGCACAATGGTTCGTCCAAGCAATTCAAGATGTAGTTACGGCATAGGAAATCAGAGTGACTCCACGCATCAATGGTTAGGAAGACTTCCTTATTAGTTTAAGGAGTTTCTCCTTCCTTCGCCTTAGGTGCCTCCTCGTTGAGAAATTTCGCCAAATTCATGGTAGTAAGGTAGAAGAACATTTTGTTCTTCCAAGTCGTAAAGTCCGTTCCCATGAACTTGTTTGGTTTTTCGGCCGCGCCGACGACCTTAGGGGTCGTATCATTGATTGAAGCCATCTACACAAATGGTTCAAATAATAGTTAGAATTATTAAATACATATTTTATAATCAAAATTCCTTATCTTGGAATTTATGTCTTGTATTTAACTTTAAAACTTCCTCTGAACCAAGTAAATATTATGAATATACAGAATATTCAATACTCAAGATGACGTATGCATAGTCGTCTGGACCATGCTCTTTTCCAGTTTATTAAAACATGAATTGACTTTATTATACTCACAAGTCAAAATTTCATTTGAAAATAAATGATTTTGCAGATTTCGAAACCAGACAATCATGTCAAATATTCTATCAACACAAATTGTATATTCAACCAAACATATAATTATATATACATAATATGTTTATGCAGACAATTAAGAAAATATTGATAAACACTAGGTTTGAAACAGAATAAATTGTTAAACGATTTTGGAAACCAATTGTTTTCCGGAGATGTTACATATACGAAAAGATATTGTCTTAAGATTGTTGGTGTATATATATATAACAATCTGCGTAAACAAAAAATACTTACTTGTTTGTCGAAAAGAGGAATTGTGAAAACCACAAAGAACGATCGAGGCTTGCCAAAACAATTCCCTCAAGACAATATTTCCGGGCTGTCAACGGTGCACAGTCTCTTCCCGGTAGTCTCCCAAGGTACAACGATC